ACATATTAGGTTTTCAAATTGTCACATTGTATATTGTTAGCATTCACATTCACTGGAACTTATAATATAACCTTCTTCAAGATATAATATCATTGCAATTTGATTGAGATTGGTGTGGTCAAACGATGGCGAATTGGTCAGTTGACTGGTACATTATGAACATTGGTTCAATCCTATCTCAGGAATCGCACGATTACTCTCAACTCGCCCAAGTTTCTACCTTTGAGGGTTGCCGTTCACATGTGCAGCATCTCCCGCTTATGTTGGGCTTTTTCAACATTCAATCTATGAATAAATTTCTTCTTCGGTGATGAACTTCTTTAGAATGTGCTCTGAAACATTATTCCATACAAAAACTTGCAAAGTTCGAAGCAAACACGAACTGTTATTTGCTGTTAGACAATGCACTTTTATTAAAAACTTTCCTAGCAATGCATTACAATCCTGACACAAGGACTACAATTGCAAAGTTTCTAGTATACGAGCTTTCAACCAACTATTGCAGAGAAAATAAAATTCCACACTGGTTCATGTCACAACTATGATAGATTTGTTACTTCACGTAGAGGTCGACTTCCTCGGAAGTTTCCCAGAAAAGTTAAATAAACCGTCTGAGATTGAGCATTTACTTGTTGATCAACCTTGCTCCAGAAGTTTGAGTATCTAATATATCTCGAAACTTCCGTCAAAGTTATTTATTTAATGTATTTCAATATAGTGCTTGTGCTCAAGAGTTAATTGCTTCTTCGCCAACTGACATGGAGACCAGTGATTAAATTCTGCTAACTTTATTTTCATTTTACTACTCATCTCGGGGAGCGTTACACAAAGTCTCCTTCTTTGATGAAGTTTCATAAATGTGATATGATGAATAAATTACTCCTTGTTTTGTCGAATCGAATTAGTATTTCGGAAATGTTAAGTGCCAATAATAATTGACATTTATGAAACGCGCCACTTTTGTTTGATAACTATTAAATGAAGTAACAGAAACAATAGGCTGTCACAGTTTGAGACAAGTGTAACAAACAATCTTGAAAAAATGAAAATGAATGGGAATCAAAAATGTCTCTATCAGTATTGATACTCATGACTATGAAGAGAAAAATTAATGAAACCAAAATACCTGATATACATCCTTACTGGACATTCAACATTACTCATAACTCATGAACTTAAAACAAATCGAAAAAAGTTATATTCTGACAACCTGTTGAGCGTTTAGATTGGACATGTGTAGTGATAGCAATTAACCGATGGAATTAGTAGATGAGTTCATTTAATAACATTACATTTTCGAATGTTTCTAGTAAATCTTAATGAAGCATCGCAACATATAGATACACAAACGCGTTACAAATAAATCAAACACTCCGACTGTACATGATGTGTTCATGTTTTACAGAGAACCTGATATTTAAGTCGATATTATAACGAGATCATTTAAATTGGAAAGTGAATATTTTGAGGATAACTTGTGTATATATGGAAAAAGAGAGAGAGAGAGAGAGAGAGAGAGAGAATATACTTCATTGTCAAAAAGTAATCTTGTGGACTGAAGAATTGGCGGTTCGTATTGGATAATTTTTACTAATCCAGTTTTTGATAAACATCTCATATGGCAGGACTGGTTTTATGGATTGAAGAAAAGGCACCCAAATATTTCACTACGTAAACCTTCCACTTCTATCAATGGAATTACGGCTTTTAATGAAACAGAAGTGAAAATGTTCTTCAATAATTTGGAAATTTTATTAACCAAACACCACTTTGATGCCAATCGAATATACAATGTGGACGAGACAGGTATATTCAATGTCCAAAGAAATTCAAGGATTTTAGCACCAAAAGGCCAGAAACAAGTCGGTATGGCAACACGTGGTGAAAGAGGTACTACAACGATAGTTGTCTGCGCTTGTAATGCTTCAGGAAAGTATATTCCTCCATTTTTCATTTTCAAGAGAAAACCTATGAATGCTCAGCCGTAAGTGATTCAGGTTGGATCAACGATAACTTATTTGTAGATTGGTCAAACCAGTTCATATCTTTTGCTAATCCAACAGTTGCAAATGAAGGTGATACAAAAAAAACGGGTGTTATTGCCTAATTTGTGATGAAAAGTATAAAGATCCACCTAATGAAGACTAGATGAAATGCTACAAATGAAATTTATGGGCCCACGAAAACTGTACGAATGGTGGTAGTACGAGGCTTTGTTTGTGATTTCTGCTCTGATTAGACTATGTTCGTAATTACCCCACAGACCATCCGCAATTACCCCACGTGTTGTGGGGTAATCCCGGACTCCAATGTTTTGTTTTTGTATTAATATTCTATTTTATATGTAACATTTATCTACGTTGATTATGTGAACATGAGATTGATTAGTTATAGTTAACTTTTAGTAATGAATAACATTCATAACCTCAACTGGTTTTCTTTAATTTTAATATTTCCTTAGGTTTCGCAATTATCCCACTCTCCCCTACGTACTGTCTCACAGTGAAACAACAGATGTCTACCAGTGAGGATAACAGTGTTCCATGTAAGTGAAATTGAACTTCTTTCATTTATTATATTGTGTAGGAATCCTGTGAATAATATGAGTCGATTCCATACAAATATTTAGAATAGAGTCAGGTGTTTTTCGAATAATTCAGCGTTCATAAATTTCGAAAATATTTTCTCTGTTCCGAGAGGGCTTTTCTTTCAGTTTGTATCTGAAAGTAAGTTTTTTGCATGATGTACAGATCTTTATATAGAGTAACTTTTTTGAAATTGATTGATGTCTTTCTTTCTTTGATAGAATCCCTCTTTTTTTTTTGTACAAAGATGGAGAAGTAGGAAGCCAAAACCTTTTTTTTCCCTGAAAGTAACACGTTGTGAATTTACCCCATAAAAAACAAATTCTGAACTAACTGAATCACGTTCACTGAGTCGGAGTGAATATTCATCTTGCAGGAGTATTTGAAAGATCTGATACTTGCTGTAAATCCTTCCTTCCTGTCTCGATATTTTAGATGGATGAAATTCCGATTTTTCAAACGCCACTTGCTTGAATTGATGGAGGAGCTTTGGGGAAAAGGGTCAGAAAATATTCATGTTCCATAATGGGAAGCTGCTGTAAGTTCTGAGAGGGTGTCTCTGTGTGTATGTTATTTTTCACCCTACTTTAAGTGGCTGTCAATCACGAGCATATGGAAATCGAGTGATATATATCGATGACACTCCTCCGCGAAATAGTGTTTGGAAGGTTATCGTGAGAGTTTTCGGGTCTGCTTGATTCTATTTTAGGGGCATCTGATTCAGTTTACTGTTCAATCTGGATGAACGATGAGTAGTGGAGTTCTAAACAGACTCAAATGTATGGTTGTTTGCTCACTATAATAGTAAGCTCTTTCGGACAAATCACATGTAGGTACGAGGTGTGAATCAGTTATATGAAAGCACAATTGAGGGTTTTCTGGCCGTGGTCTGCAGGTTTTTACGCCTGACGTTTCGTCTACTGTAGCGGTAAATATTTTCAAAGACGATATGGTAACGGTTGCAATACCCCAGCTGGTGCTCTGATTCGTGTTGCTGTTGTATCCAACGCATCAACTACTATTTCCGTACTGGGCGCTCTATTGATATCATTCCTAATTTTATTACTTCCAATCTTCCAATTCATGTACTTCTACGGACAGATAGCCAGCTTTTATTAATATTCATTCATAACTTCAATCAAATGTACATCAATTGGAGACATTGATTTCTACTTCTACCAGAATGAGATTCAAGATAGAAATGTAAACATCAGCGGGGTTTTCATCAACATGAAATACTGTGAAAATGCAGGGCTTCACACAAACCTTCACCTGAACATTCCGTGGAAATAAATCATCACAATTTGGCTATGAAGCAGGAAACCATCAACTCCAAATATGTAATGATATTCGAAACCATGAATTGATTATTGATAAGAATATATCATGAATCGAATGCTTGGTCAACAAAAATATTTTAGATACTCACCAAATTTTGTAATATTTGTTGCATAATATATGTAAAATTTGTATATGTTACGGGCATTTTGATAAGTCCGGAAATTATTAATAATGGCCGGTCTGTATTTATAATGCCCGACTCAATTGGGCAATGTGATTGAAACAGCATGATTAATCACTTTTCCCGGCCATTATGAATAATGCCCACCCTATCTTGGACAAGGTAATAAAATAGGTGAACTGTTTATTAAATGAAAAAAAATACAAAATTTTCATGAAAAGTTAACCGAAAATAAACTATTGAATATANACAGTCAGGCATGTCCCGTGCGAGTGCCCGGAGTTATCGTCAATAAGAGAGTGTGTGTTCGGCGAGTCTTGGCCTACACCTGCCGATATAAAGGAGATGTCTCCCAATGACCCGTCCACCTTCGTGGAAAGGACAGGATGGACGATGACCTAGGAGGACAACTCCTCGGGAGGATGTAAAATGGGTCACATGTGGCCTAAGTACTGTGGGCTTACACTCACCCTCCCTACTATACAGATACAGACACAGAGAAGTTTAGAATTATTTATTCTTGCAAGATGAGTTTTTGTGACATTTGGAATTGCAAAGAATGTTTGATTCCTTGCATTTAGAACGTTTTAAATTGCAGTCACCACTACAGTTACAATGCTGGAAGCCTTGTGCAACAAAATGAGAGTGTCTTCGAACACTTCTCGAAGAGTAATATCAACTTTTGGAACATCGTCGATCGAAATGAACTTTTTTTTATACACAGTAAACTCATTTCTGGAGAAGAGTTGGTTTAAAATACCGTGTTTAGTTCCAAGTTTTTCTTTTTTGGCAGATATACTAATAGCAATTATATTACGACTCTCCGTTTTGGCTCGATCTAAATCTGGTATCTACTCGAACGCTTTGGCCTATTTCTGCAATAGGAAATTTTGCATTTGAACGCGCCAACATTTTTTTGGCTTGCTTATCAAGTGATTCTTTAACTGCGTTACCAGCCTTCTGAATTTCGTTTGATTTTGCGTTAAAAAAGCAGCCTTTTCATTATCAGAATTTTCCTTTTCATTAATCATATCGACAGGAGGCTGTTGATCGGCTGCTCGCGGGTTTTCATTAATTATTTCCACACTCACAGGGGGTTGTTTCAGTTCAGAAGGCTGTTGATCGTCTGGTCGAGGGTTTTCATTTATTATGTCCACAGTAGGTTGCTGATTTTGTGGTAGACTATCGGCAGAATGTTGTTCCAGTTCAGAAGATTGTTGATCGTCTGGTCGAGGGTTTTCATTCATTATGTCGACAGTAGGTTGCTGATTTTGTGGTAGACTATCGGCAGAATGTTGTTCCAGTTCAGAAGGCTGTTGATCGTCTGCTTGAGGGTTTTCCTTCATTATGTCCACAGTAGGTTGCTGATTTTCTGGTAGACTATCGGCAGAATGTTGTTCCAGTTTGTAACGGGGTTCAGGTTCAATCGTAACAGAAATAGAACCAGTAACAGCGGCTGAGTTTTCATCTATGTTTTCGCTGTCTTCGTTTACGACATCATCCGCTCATCATCATACATTTTGACCTTCACTGGAATCACTATCTTTCAACATTGCTTCAAGGTCCTCTCTACTTACTATCTCCGTTAACTCGTCAAATGATGGCAAGACTGATTTTCAACCTACTTTGGGTTTGCAGCCGAACATATGACTTATTACATGGACCACGGGCCGTCGGGCCTTATTGGTAATGGCCGGTCGAAGTGATAAATTAATGACTTTGTCCATCGCTTTTGGGCATTATTAATAATGGCCGGTCCTTATTAATAATGCCCGGTTTATCACGTTGCCCGTAACATATACATCTGTGAATACTGTTTTTTGGTTCATTCTGTTCGAATTCCTATGAAACTTACTAAATGAACGTTTCGAATTCTTGAATATTTGATTCACAAGCATTCCAAAAAACTGAATCTTAAACTTTTCTTTTTATTCATCTAAATAAGTAAAATTATGAGTTCAACTGCGAAACACGGGTTTTTGATCATGAATGTTCGATATTTCGTGAACTCATGAACAAAACATGTTAAACTGAACATCAGGTCAGAAATTACAAGTAGTGGCGCAAAACTTCGACTTTTATGATAAATTTATTCATACTTTTCAAATGGAGTGTTTCAATCGATTTTTTTTCGTATGGCTACTTATTGGTAATTACTGAATGAGAAATATGTTGTTGTTGGTATCTTTTCATTATGAAATATTTAATTGCGTTCAAAAGAATATTAAGTACATTTTGCTAAATTTTGTAACGCAAGTTCAAAAGATAGTAACGACTTCATAATTATTATTAATAATATAATCACTTTGAAAAAACAACATGTTTTACAGCATCATTATAGTCATTTTCAAATATCCATTCCACCATGACCATTCTCTCATATTTCTCAATAAAACGACTCCTTCTTATTTCATGAAAAGCTGAACTCCATTCTCTATCTTTAATCACAATTTTTCGCTGGTGGATTGCAACATTTTATTGCACATTTTATTTGTTTGAGTTTCTGCTGTTCCGTTTCAGCCAAGAATTCGATTTCCCCTATAGTTTATTGCGTATAACCAGCACTCCGTTTATGAGTCCAGCTTCTGCATCAATATCCACACATCAATAGATCGTGGCAGGCGCTGATCCGTCCTTGAATGGTTTCAGGTTTATACCCGAGTTATCACAAGTTGGCTATTCAACTCGTGTGCAAAGAAGGATTTCGACAGTTTGTGCTCCTCGAAAACATGTACATTGCCCAGAGGCGTGCAACAGATTTGGTGAGTTGGGATTCTTCTATTTTCACATGTTTCATTTTTGTAACGGAAAAAGTAATAATTCTCTTTGAAGAAGTAGCCAATATTACAGATTATGTCCCCAGTCACAAAATATTCTTCTTCATAGATCTAGAAACAATACAAACTGTTATTTCTGAATAACTTTTGAATATTTATTTGTGGATAACTAAGATTATTGTGTATTTCAAATTGAATATCAAATGAATAATATTATAATTATTAAGTTATTTACATAATTCAGTTTATTATCAGAAGACTCTTGAAATACAAATCAATCAACAGAATTCCGCTTATTGAATGAGAAAAAGAAAAAACACTTCAAAAGTGCTGCTTTGTTGCCTCCTGTTCATAAAAGAGGACATATGTCTCCTCACTCACAAGCGATTTTGGTAAAATTGGGGACACGTGTGAATCTTTATATTCATTCCACGTGCCACTATAAGGGTGTCTGCAATATGCTGTGTAATGCCCCTTGTAAGTATTCCCACTGTGATTCAAAAGTGCATATAGATTGTTACTTCAAGGAGCCACATTGTCTGCTGAATAATTGCTCATATCTAATCCTGCCTTTGAATCGTTCCGTTGGAGAGAATCTTTTTAAATAAATCACTGAAATACGGGAAAACTTATAGATTGATAGGGACTTGCACCTCAAACAGGTTGTATGAATTCAAAGATATATCATCGTATAATATCCTAATGAATATTCGAAATAAATTTCGATGTTACAAAAAGGCAGACATCACTTTCCATTAAGGATGAGAATGTGATGGATTCTGGTATTATGATGTCAACACAAATAATAATGTTAGTTGTGCTACTTTGGATTTTCCATCTTAGACTAGTTCAATTTGGAAAACAGATCAGCCGTTCCTGAATAACTTACAGTTCAACATTATTTTTGAGAATCTGTAAACAAACAGTAAATGTCATAACTCCATCAAAGTAATCATTCACTTCAGTTTATTTCAATAAATATTAACCACTTTCTGACAAATTCTATGCCATGGAATTTTTTTGGAGTACTTGATTTCGTGAATAGAATAGAATAGAATATTGAAGAAGTAGAAAGCTAAAACCGTTTTTTTCCAATTCATGAAGGCTGTGGGCCCGTATCATCACTACATAGTATATTCAATAAGTAAAATAATATGTTTAACGTTTTTATTGAAAAAAAAATGTAGATGATGTACTGAAAACTGAAAAAAAATTCAGAAGGTCCTAGGTAGCAGTAACTACACCACTCTTCTTAGCAATTTACTTATTTTATTTTCGAGTTTTCAGTTTCTGAGTTTTATCCACCCTAATGCCACACAGTTCTTGACACGATACGAAATATTGATTGTATCCCGATTCTGAGTTGACAAAGTTCTTTGTATAGATTACTAGTTGTTGCCTGCGGCTTTGCCCGCGTAGAATTTAGTAGTTGTAGTACTAATTATTACTATGTTGCTGTATCGCTGCTGTTCCAATGTTTTCAAAGAATCAGAATCAACGAACTTAGGCGTGCGCAGCGTTATAGAACAGTGCTTTAAAAAATTGTTCTAGCGCCATCTAGTGGCGAGTTACAGAAAAATTGATAACATAAAAACCTTCTCTATAAAAAATTACTTGTACATGTCAAGTTTCATCACGATCGGTTGAGCGACGTAGAAGAACAATACTCCAAAGAAGTTTTGATCTGAGCCCATGAAGCATTAAACGTATAAAGTACAGTTTTCTGCTTCATAACAGTGTTCCAAGGTTTTGAGAAGCGGTTTTTGCAATTATAGCGTTATAATTATTGTACCAATCGAAATAGAAAGTGGAATTGTCTGACTAGAGATTATTATATGTTGTTCGGAGACATTAATCTTTTTGGAGAAAACCGACTTCTAACTATTTTTTCTCAGTACATACAGTTTTGGTACGTTCATTTTTATATTTATTATACACTTTAATACAAAACCTCTTCGATTCATTGAGATGATTTATGACCTTCTGGCAGAATCTTCCATGATTGGCACACTGCAAGGCGTTGATCCACCCTTCGATGCTTGATACCAAACAGTTGTTGGACTACAGTAGGGATGAACTACGATGTCTAACAGACCTTCCAACAGGTGAATGTCATTTGAATCATCATATGCAGAGACTCAGACTGTCGGAAGACAGTGTGTATCGCCTCTGTTTGGAAAATGATGAAACAGCAGAGCACATTAGAGTTCGGCCGAGCCGTACTCTCACCATCTGACCTGAAAGACCACTACCCATACAAACCAATCGGCTTCGTTACGAAGCTGGGTTTATTTGGTCGAGTGTGAATAGGTGTGAGCTACAATAAACCTTTGCGGGTTACGTTGGAGGGTTGAATAGACCCACTCACTAACCAAACTAACCTAACTGTATACATTGATGCTGTTCACTTCTCTCTAAATTCAGATTTGCCTCTTTTCAGCTCATTACTATAGTTGTCAATCGATTTTCGGCCATTTTTCCTATATGAATTCAAGTTGAACAGAAGCGCATCGGAAACAGCCCAAAAAATTGTTCAGGCATTTCGCGATGATAGTGATAATGAAGGCACTGTTCGACGTTGGTTTGTAAAACAAAGTTCCCGGAGATTCTAGCCTGACACCCTTACAAAGGAGGGTGTCGCAAGCAGCTTCATCGGACCAGAACCTGTCATTGGCATCGCTTCAGTTTTTGCCAAATAAAGATTGAACACCTGGATGGCAAGATGATTTATGACCTTCTGGCAGAATCTTCCATAATTGGCTCACTGCAAGGCGTTCATCCACCCTTCGATGCTTGATACCAAACAGTTTGTGTACTACAGTAGGGATAAACAACGATGTCTAACAGACCTTCCAACAGGTGACTGTCATTTGAATCATCATATGCAGAGACTTGGACTGTCGGAAGACAGTGTGTATCGCCTCTGTTTGGAAAATGATGGAACAGCAGAGCCCATTAGAGTTCGGCAGAGCCGTACTCTCACCATCTGACCTGAAAGACCACTCACCATACAAACCAATCGGCTTCGTTACGAAGCTGGATTCATTTGGTCGAGTGTGAATAGGTGTGAGTTACAACAAACCTTTGCGGGTTACGTTGGAGGGTTGAATAGACCCACTCACTAGCCTAACTAACCTAACTCTATACATCGATGCTGTTCACTTCTCTCCAAATTCAGATTTGCCTCTTTTCAGCTCATTACTATAGCTGTCAATCGATTTTCGGACATTTTTCCTATATGAATTCAAATTTAACCGAGGCGCAGCGAACCGAGGCGCAGCTGAGACAGCCCAAAAATTGTCCAGGCATTTGGCAATGATAGCGTTAATAAACACAGTGTTCAACGTTGGTTTGTGAAACTTTGTTCCCGGAGATTTTAGCCTCGAAAATGAGCCCACAAAGTAGTCGCTATCCCACGCTATCTCACGGTTCGTGGGATAACGGAAGAAATGAACGTCACTTCCCATGCGGTTTTTAATGGTTTAAAACGTATTGGAAAGGTCAAAAGTTCAAAAAGTTCGTCTAACGATTTGTACAATCGACAGAAATGGTCACGTTTCGAAATCTGT